CGGGTTCCCGAGCTTTGACTGTTCCCGAGCTTTGACTGTTCCCGGGCTTTGACTGTTCCCGGGCTTTGACTGTTCCCGGGTTCCCGAGCTTTGACTGTTCCCGAGCTTTGACTGTTCCCGAGCTTTGACTGTTCCCGGGCTTTGACTGTTCTCTGCTGCCAGTTTTTGTCGTTGTTATGAAAACTTTCACCGGGTGGTTCCAGGTTCTGCTCGGCGTTTTTCTCCAGTTTCCGAACAGGAAGAAAATCCACTGTAATGTTTCTGCGAACCAAAGCGATTCATCTGTGAAGACTTTAATAGCCGTCGTGTTTCATTCTTCATGCTCCAGGAACTCTGAGTGATTCCTCTGAGTGATTCTTCAGCCGGCGGCGGCGGAGCGTCAAGCAAACACCAAAAACCCATTTGGCTCCGTCCGGTCACTAAACCGTTCCTCCTGGAAACACGCAGCAACATCTGTTCTGCTCCCTGGATTTCCTTCCGTGTTTGGAGTCCAGCGGAGCGGACGTCCAGGTTAACACGCTGCGGCCTCGCCGCAGCGTGTTAACCTGAAATATGCATGCCTGTCTTCTGCTCCAGCAGCAGCTGCTCATTACGCGGCGCAGTCATCAGCTGCTGCTGCTCCAGGATGAGGTCAGGCGCCTGCGGGCCGCGCCGCTACCTCCAACACGGCCGATCCGCCTGCTGCACCCAGACATCCATAATGCATGAGTGCATAACGCGGCGCGGCGCGGCGCGGCGCGGCGCAGCGGGGGGCAGGAAGCAGAGACGCTTCTGGAAGCAGCTGCTTCCCTTCATCAGTTCAGCTACTATTATCAAAATGTTCGTCTCAGCAGATCTGAACGAAGTCTGCGAACTTTTCACCGAACAAGAACCGAGACTCATTTGGCCCAGAAATGAGCATTTATGCCTCCCCATTGGACCGGGCTTTGACTAGACACACACTGGATTAAATCAGTTTTTCAGTGAAGAAATGCTCCATAAATGTATTTCATTCTTTATTATTATTATTTTATTTGGGATTCCTGTCCGGCCCGTTTGCGGTTCTGGTTCTGGTTCCTGTTAATCAGCTGCAGGAGGAAAACAAACATCCTGAAATAAACCTGGGTTCCCAGAGAAGCCTGGAGGTTTTCTGGCGCAACATCCAGAGCGGGTCGACTGGCGCCTGCAGCCAAATGTTCACTTACTGAGAGGAGCCTTCATCACTCCTCCTCTTCCTCAGGCGGCTGACCCGCCGGATGTCTGCAAAACGTTTTGTGTTTTGTGTTCCTCATGTCAGGAAGACATAGATCTATCACACATAGAGTGGAACCCTCACTTTTTTCTAGAAGTTCTGGTGATTCTGGAATGAAACCCCAGAATTCAGAACATCAGATCAATAAAAATGATCAATTTCACAGAACTGATCGTCGCTCTGCTCTCAGTTCTGGTGTGAGCTGAAGTCCTGCATCAGTAGAACCAGAACCGGAACCGGAACCAGCATGACCTGAGTTAATCCAAATCATCACTGACTGGACCTCCATCCAGGCTCTGGTTCTGTCCAGTCTCGGACTTCCAGATGAAATTAAAACTTTACTTTCATCTGAAAACAGAACTTTGGCCCGATTCTGGTTCTGCTTGGCCCAAATGGCTGCCCAGGTTCTGGAGAAGCATAAATGGATTCTGCTTCATTTTAAGGCTGCGGTTGTTGCAATACTGAACTTTTTTCTTCCACTCAACTTTCTACAAATATGCTTATATTCACAGGTTTTTTCCCTTCCCTTCTCTTTTAGCTTCATTTCTGTTTAATTTTTTTATATGTAACATTTCTGACTTACAGTAACATTTAAAAAAATTTAACAATAAAATATATTTTTCACTAATAAAACAATAAGATTGCAAATAAACTTTAACATTAAATAATAGTGATAAAGTTAAATTAATGCTATTCCGTAATAAATATAAATTCATGCTATAGTCTGTAATATAGGATAAACTGAAATTTGTTCTTATGCAGTACTTTTGGGATGCAATATTTGGTATTAGTATTCCTGACCAAATTCATTTCGTCAGGATCTGTCTTCCATAGAGTGCAGAGATCAGAAGGTACATTTCAGGCTTTTTTCTCATGATTTCCAGATAAACAGTTCAATGTTTCCTGCACCTTCATCAGGTTTATTATCAGGAATATTCCTGCATAATCCGGGTTAATCCAGAGTCTGTTTCAGTGAACCGCAGGTCAGATGTTTAACGCTGATAAATCAACCTGTTGGTACCGGATCATTTGGACCCGCTCCAACAGCTCTGAACACTCAGAAAACAGCTTTTAATAAACTGCATCCAAAGGAAGGTCCGGGTTCTGGACTCCGGATCAGAACATCTGTAGTTCTGATCATAAACATCATAAAAGCTCTGGCTGGTTTCCTCAGAGATGCGATGAAATGGAGTTGGAGTCGCCAGCAGGGGGCGCCGTGTCACTAATGTCTGGCCTGCTAACCCGATGTTGCCTCATGAGTTAGCTACCGACCGGCTAGCTAAGCTAACAGCATAATATGCTATTTAGCCTTACATAAGAGAAGTTGTATTCATGAAATTATAGATGTCAGTTTCAAACTAAACATTTATTTTGAAGCTAAATAATTTGTCAGCAATCAAAATACTATCTAGTTAATGATTAACTTAAGTACTTAGTTTAAACTATTTCATGGCTAGCTTAGTATCAAGAGTGAAGCTGAAGTGAGTAAGCTAACTGTAACTACTTTGCTACCAAGGAATTTATTTAGTTTGAATCTAACAGTTAGTTTGCAAAACTAAATATTTAGGGAGAAGTTGAGCATTTAATTAGCTCACTACTTTAATTAGCTCTAAGCTAGCTAAACATTTTGTTAGCATTGATATTATATTGGTTAATGATTTGCAAATTAACTTGCAGAAGTGGACTATCAAAATAAAAGCTGGGCATTGAGAACTTCTATAAAAAGTCCTGATGAGACTGTATACGAAGCTGATGCTAAAGCTAAGTATTTAGTTGTTGAACTAAGTGTTTATCTCCAGTATTTGGAGCCGGCTGCTTTGACCTTCAGGTTTCTCTCCTCCATCTGGCTCAGACACTGAGGAACATGGCGGCTGAGTAAAGATGGCGCTGAGTGGCTCAGACATGAAGCTGCTGCTGCAGAAACCATTTTGTCCATTTTGCTTCATGTGTTCATTCTCTGAGCCCTGAGATCTGCTTCTTCCTCTCCCCTCCCGCGTTGCTGTGCCTCCCGCTGCGGGCGACTCCAAGCCAAAGCAGCGCCAAGAGGCGGCCGGACGTTTCCAGAGACTCGTAACAGAGGACGGACGTTGAACAAGTCATCATGGAAACCATGAAGAGCAGCTGCTCAAGCCACTCGGAGCCATCAGAGCTGGGAACTATAATCCCATTTGAACAGTTTGTATATTTGCAGCTTTTGTTGGAATAAAACAAAAGGGAAAAACAAAATGTGAGATTTGGATTGTCAGAAAATGGTGTGGATTTGGATCCAGACTGTCGTCCTGTTAGATCTGATCTCTGAATCCATCCATGACCCGTAAGCTGAGCCCACTTCCTGTCAGAGACACAAAAACCAACAGAAAAACTTTTTTCCTGCTGGAGGATCAAAATAAAGTCATTATGCAGATTCACTCAGAATGAGGAGATGATGTCATCATCAGCAACAGGAAGTGGAATAAACACACGTCACCACAACCAGCGGCTACATTTCTACACCTGATGCGTTCGCAGATGAAATCATTTCTAAACTGTGGCAACAGGAACCACCTTCAGTGGAACCAGCAGCTGCTGGGAACGTTGGGAGCAGCGACAGACTGGGAGTCTGACCACAGCTGGGAGGAAGGATCTGCAGCAACGCCGCTTTCTGCACCCCGGACGCAGCCGCCGGGAGGGACGCAGCCGCCGGGAGGGACGCAGCCCGGGAGGGACGCAGCCGCCGGGAGGGACGCAGCCGCCGGACGCAGCTTTTTAAAAACGCAAATCCAGTTCATCTTCTGCCCAAATGTTCTCTCTTCCAGTGTTTTGTCCACACAGTTAATAATTAATATCCAAACTTTAATATTTATTAAGGTTTTATTATAATCATTTAATTCTGCTAGAGGCTGATTTATATTATTCTGAAAACTGATCTAATGTACCATTTACCAAATTATAAATATAAACAGGAATTTATGCTGCAAGAAAAATAAATTAAAAGCTCTCATCATCATCATCATCATCATCATCATCTTCTTCTTCATCATCACCATCATCTTCATCATCTTCTTCTCTTCATCATCATCTTCTTCTTCTTCATCATCACCATCATCTTCACCACCATCATCTTCATCATCATCATCACCTTCACCATCTTCATCATCATCATCTTCATCATCATCATCATCTTCATCATCATCTTCATCATCACCATCATCTTCATCATCACCATCATCTTCACCACCATCATCATCATCATCACCTTCATCATCATCATCATCACCTTCATCATCATCATCACCTTCATCATCATCATCACCTTCATCATCATCATCATCATCATCATCACCTTCATCATCATCATCACCTTCATCATCATCATCACCTTCATCATCATCATCATCACCATCATCACCTTCATCATCATCATCATCACCTTCATCATCACCATCATCACCATCATCATCTTCATCATCATCATCATCATCACCACAGGAGCAGATTTCCAGAGTAATCCCGGCTGGTTCTGGTGTTTCTGGTTCTGTAGCGGGGGATGAATGAAACTGGACCTCCTCACTAAACACATCTGAAGGAACCACGAATGGTTCTGAACGTTACCATGGTGATCCTAGAGCAACACTTAACTTTCTGATGACAAAACACGAGAAGATTTTCCTGTGAAACCAGAACCGGAACCAGAACCTGTCTAGACCGGCAGTGGAGAACCCTCGGAGCAGGACCCTCTCTGACCCCACCCGGACCATTCCCGGGCCGCGGACCCCAGCGCTCCTCTCACCTGACCAGCAGCAGCAGCTTCCAGCCCACCAGCGCGCGCCCCGCCGCTTCCCGCCGCCTCATGGCTCGTCCTGCGCGCGCTCGCGCCCTCCGCTGCCTCGCGCTCCAGGTGAGTTCAGGCGGCGCGCGGGTCGCAGCTCGTGGACATCCCGCCGAGACTCCGGAAGTTAAGCGGCGGAGCAGCTTCCCGTCAGCAGAGAAGAGCGGAGATGAAGCTGAGGAAGAGGAGGGAGAGCGCCCAGATGTCACCCCGCCCCCTGCTCTGATTGGCTGAACCGCGGGCAGCTCAGCCAATCACAGCTCGGCTGATGCCTCAACATGTGGAATCTAATCAGCAACTTTCTACAGATTTACTTTACTAAACATTTAGTTAGTAGTTTACTGACTAAAACATTCAGCTCATAGTCAACACTCAGCTCTAAATATTTACTTTGAAATAAGCAGAAATATTAGTAAGTCACCTAAATATTAAGTTAATATGTAACTTCAAGCTAAGTATTTATCTTTGAGCCAGCTAAATCTTACCTTCAAGCTAAATCTTTACCTTCAAGCTAAATCTTTACCTCAAGCTAAATCTTTACCTTCAAGCTAAATCTTTAGCTTCAAGCAAATCTTTACCTTCAAGCTAAATCTTTACCTTCAAGCTAAATCTTTACCTTCAAGCTAAATCTTTACCTCAAGCTAAATCTTTACCTTCAAGCTAAATCTTTAGCTTGAGGCGGTTGGTGCGTTTGGTGCAGCTTGCATCGCCGCAGATCCTCCGTGGCCTTTTCAGTCCAAACCTGTCAGATCGCATCTTTCAGAGCCGCCAGCAAGGAGTTCCTCTGAGAGGCGATCATGTCCAGCAGCAACAAACAGTCTGACCTGCAGGCAAAGCCCCGCGGCCCCGCAGAGCCGCGGGCCAGAGCCGGCTGCACAAGTCAGAAGCTAGAAAGAAACAGTAAGCGCGGCTGGATGTGACGTCCTTCCTGGACGTCCGCGTCAAAGAAGACTCGGGGCTCCAGGTTCCTCCTCACACCTGATCCTGCAGCTGCACGGCGACACGCCTCCCATGTTCACCGTTTCACTGTTTCAGCTCCACAAGTATCGATGCACAAGGGAAAATACTGCAGGAGGAGATGATGTTGACAGCAGGAGCTCAAGCCAACATCTTCATTTCCAGGTTAAGTCTTTGCTGTACCCCGTTTCTGCCACTAGATGTCCTCAATTACTCCCGCCTCCACCTGTTCATTATCCACCTGGCCACGCCCAGTCTGGATCTGGCCACGCCCAGTCTGGATCTGGATTCCCATTAATGCTCCAGTTTCCTCCTGCAGGAATGTGGACTTTGACTTCGTTGTTTAATGGACGTCATTTGTAAAGATACGCTGTAAAAAATGAACATAACATTTAGGGGTTCCTTTTTCTAATTCACATTTCTACCATATTATTCATTCATCCACACTTTCAAACTAAATTTCATACTTAGCTTTGAGGTAAACTAAATGTCTAGTTTATATTTAGCTAAATATTTATACTTGTGGGCTGCACAGTGGTGCAGTTGGTTGCCCTGTTGCCTTGCAGCAAGACGGTCTTGGGTTTGATTCCCGGCCCGGGGTCTTTCTGCATGGTGGCTTCTCTCGGTTCTCCAGCTTCCTCCCTCCATCCAAAAACATTAATTTAGTTGAAAACTGTACATAGAAATGAATTAATAACACGGTGAAAATATGGATTTGGAAAATGAAGCCTGAAGTTTTTCAGACTAAAACAACCAAATTATTGCTGCAAACTTTAGACGCAGCACAACAGGCAGGAACCTTAAGTGTGTGTGTGTGTGTGTGTGTGTGTGTGTGTGTGTAGTGTGTGTGTGTAGGCGTGTGTGTGTGTGTGTGTGTGTGTAGGTGTGTGTGTGTGTGTGTGTAGGGTGTGTGTGTAGGGTGTGTGTGTGGTGTGTGTGTGTAGGTGTGTGTGTGTGTAGGTGTGTGTGTGTAGGTGTGTGTGTGTGTGTGTAGGCGTGTGTGTGTAGGTGTGTGTGTGTGTAGGCGTGTGTGTGTGTGTGTGTGTGTAGGTGTGTAGGTGTGTGTGTGTGTGTGTAGGTGTGTGTGTGGTGTAGGTGTGTGTGTAGGTGTGTGTGTGGAGGTGTGTGTGTGTGTGTGTGTGTGTGGGTAGGTGTGTGTGTAGGGTGTGTGTGTGTGTGTAGGTGTGTGTGTGGTGTGTGTGTGTGTGTGTAGGGTGTGTGTGGTGTGTGTGTAGTGTGTGTGGTGTGTGTGTAGGTGTGTGTGTAGGTGTGTGTGTGTTGTGTGTGCGTGTGTGTAGGTGTGTGTGTGTGGGTGTGTGCGTGTGTGTAGGTGTTGTGTGTGTGTGTAGGTGTGTGTGTGGTGTGTAGGTGTGTGTGTAGGTGTGTGTGTGTGTGTGTGTGTGTGTGCGGTGTGTAGGGTGTGTGTGTGGTGTG